GTTTGCTAAGATTTCTCTTGTGATGGTTTGGTTGTGGGAAGAGATTATATGTTGCCCTGTTGCTTATGCATCGTTAAACGCCTGGAAAGAGATGTTGTTGTCTTGCCTATATACTGAGTTTTTTGAGGCTTACAGTCCCCAAGAGGGCATTTGAAGGCATAGACGACGTTTGTCTCATTTAAAGCGTTCTGCTTTGTGTCTGAAGAGTTTCTCATGAGTAGGCTGGCCGTTTTTTTTAGTTTTATAGTAAATCGTCAGTTGTAAATTCTGATTTTTGTCTGTAGGGATAACGTTTCTATTAACAATATCTTTCAGGACCCTTTCCTCCGTTTTATGAGCTGTGGAAAAGAAGTTCCTGTAAAATAGTCTAATAGGGGGTATAGGTGTTGTGTTAGTTGTCTCTTCAGAGGTTGCATGGCGTTTCACTTTCCTTCTTATGATGTCTTCAACGAAACCATTGGAGAAGCCGTTGTTCACTAGGACCTGCCTTACCCTACAGAGTTCTTCGTCGACTTGCTTCCATCCTGAGCTGTGGCTGAGAGCACGGTTGACATAAGTGATGATAGCGGACAGAGTGTAGCATGATACGGCCTGTACTCCTCTTGACATACCAGAAAACATTCTAAGGAAACTACATCAAGCTTGTACTAAAGAGGCACCCTTTTCGAGCCCGGATGGGCACATGTATAAGCAAGTAGATGGGGTCGCCATGGGTTCTCCCCTAGGTGTCCTGTTTGCGAACTTCAACATGGGTGCCATCGAGCAAAACGTCTTAGTCGACTTGAACTTGAAACCGGCCATATTCTGCAGGTATGTTGACGACATTTTAACACAGGTACCTGATGTCAGACATCTGCAGGAGCTGAAGGAGGCATTTGAGCAGAGTTCTGTGTTGTGTTTCACTTACGAGATGGAGAAGGATGGGAAGCTGCCCTTTCTAGATGTAACAGTCATGGAAAGGACCGGAGGTTTCCACACTGCAGTCTACACTAAGGAAACAAACATTGGAATGTGCCTAAATGCCAACAGTGACTGCCCAGGCAGGTACAAGAGGAGTGTTGTTAACGCTTATGTCGACCGTGCTCTCAGCCACAGCTCAGGATGGAAGCAAATCTACGAAGAACTCTGTAGGGTAAGGCAGGTCCTAGTTAACAACGGCTTCTCCAATGGTTTCGTTGAAGACATCATAAGAAGAAAAGCGAAACGCCATGCAACCTCTGAAGAGACAACTAACACAACACCTGTACCCCCTATTAGACTATTTTACAGGAACTTCTTTTCCACAGCTCATAAAACGGAGGAAAGGGTCCTGAAAGATATTGTTAATAGAAACGTTATCCCTACAGACAAAATTCAGAAGATACAACTGACGATTTACTAGAAAACCAAAAAAACGGCCAGCCGACTCATGAGAAACTCTCCAGACACAAAGCAGAACGCTTTAAAAGAGACCAACGTTGTCTATGCCTTCAAATGCCCTCTTGGGGACTGTAAGCCTCAAAAAACTCAGTATATTGGCAAGACAACAAGATCTCTTTCCAGGCGATTAACAATGCATAAGCAACAGGGCTCCATTAAGAAACATATAATCTCTTCCCACAACCAGACTAACACCAGAAAAGTCTTAACAAAAACACGGAAATCATCGATACATACAGCGATAGCAGGCGGCTTGATATCTGCGAGGCACTACACATTAAGAAGTCGACACCAGCAATCAACAGCCAATTAATGCACATCTATATTCTACGCACTTCAAGACTCCGCACCAATATAGAAGCATCAAGAAATATGGGCCAATTGGCCCTTTGCAGTTACTTCCATTCTTCCCTTTACCTTACAAAATATTATACCCAATTTTTCGTGTTCTGTCTAGTGTTGAAAGTTTGTTTTCACCTCATCCAAAACTGTTGTAACATTTTACTCACCCAAATGCAGGTATAAAATCGAAGCTGTTTGAACTCTGTTCAGTTATAGTTGTGTGTGTGTAAACTAAAGTCTTTGAAAATGTAATAAGTTTTACGAAACGCGTTCAAGTGTCGCGTCAGACTAGAAATAAAAAGGAATTTTTGAGAATTGATTTTTCAGTTACCATCAACAGTGAAAAGAAATATTAGAAACATAGAGAAAATTCGTTTTAGAATTATTAATCTTACTTTTTTATATATATAATATATATATATATATATTATATATATATATATATATATATATATATATATATATATATATATATATATATATATATATATATATATATATATATATATATATATATACATATATATATACATATATATGTATATATATATATATATATATATATATATATATATATATATATATATATATATATATATATATATATATATATATATATATATATATATGACGTGTGTGTGTGTGTGTGTGTGTGTGTGTGTGTGTGTGTGTGTGTGTGTGTGTAATATAATGAAAAAGTCAGCAATACAAAACATGAACAGAGTTGGAATTAACTTACGAAAAGTTGAGAGCTTTGGCAAGGTACATCATTAACTGCGTCATGGGGCCCCTGAACGCAACCTCTTTTCCCCCAGGAACCATAGGATTAGCTCTCAGTATAATTTTATTAGCTGGGTTTCCCTCTGCTGCCACTAGCAAACTTGGCCTAGGATCGAATCTGTAAGAGAGTAAAAATTAGTTTCATTATTATTTCCCATAATTTTATTTACATTTCTTGAATGATAAGATGAATTTATCTAATTATTTTATCATATTTATTAGTTTCCTTTTGTGGATAATTATAATCATTGTTTTGCTATTTATTATGCATTTGATATTCTTGAAATATATCTGATTCACATATTTAATGTTCTTGATCATTAATGTAAGTTATACATGTTTTCGGTTTTCTACCACATTCCTTGTGTTTTACTTTTAGTTCATCTTCAGGTTCTTCACTTTTATTGAGCAGGACAATTAAATTCTCAATCAATTCTCTCAATTAAAATCCTTTAGTTTTAACGCCTCCAATTTATGCCTTGATGTTTTTCCAGTTTAGACTTTTTAACAATTATTAAATGTTTTTTGATCAAAAATAATGCGGTCGTGCATACTTTACTCTCATCCAATGATTCAATAGTTATATGAATTATGTATCCTGCGCCTGTTCTTGGTTATTACCAGGCACATCAGATAGGCAGTTCTAGTATTTGTCTTTCATTCGGAAAATCACATTGAACATTTAGGTCGTATTTCTTATTCACACTATATGCCAGCAATAAACTTTTGAAGTATACAGAAAAACAAAATCCCCAGAAAATTGAAAAATGTTTTACAGAAAATGTTTATTATATTAGATAGGAAGTTTACCATAAACAATAAATTTTGTTTTATACATTAAATTACGTATAATTTTGTTTTCACGTTAAAAGTGAAACAAACAAACTCAGTAACTGAATGAGCTAAGACTGAAGTGCTTCCCATTTTTTACATTTATGTCATGAGATTCCATTCATATTCTATTTTAATAATTTGATGTCAATAATTTAATGGGTATCTTCTTTTGCAAACGTTAAAAATGCAATTAAATTAAAAAAACACTTATCATCTGACGTGAGAGAAAATTTCATGGTTTTAAAATAGTAATATGAATGTCCGCTTCTTAAATTTTGATCAATTTTAAATTTCGTTTTATTATGACCAGAAAATATAAATGTTAGCAAAAAAGTAATAAGATAAGAGAACGAAAGACGGTGCCATAATTTGTTTCCAAAGTGGTTTTTCCTGAGTGTACTGACCTCACAAGCACTAAAATTTATATAGTTATTAATATTTAATAACAATGCTTTTCTTTGCTTTATATTATTTACAGTGCAGATATGTATGTTCTCCGTAGTTGCAAGAATTTTTAAACCAACTAAATTCGTTGAGATAATTCAAGTGCAATAGTTTTTGTCTCACACTGTCTCAGTAAACATTTTCTAATTTCAAAAATGTTTGAAAAACGACATTTCATTGTATTAATCACACTTTAGGGGTCCAGGAGCTCAAAAATATTCATCTATATATGAAATGCAGTGAAAACTATTAAACATATCTCAAGTTATTTGGCATAGGTGTCGTGAAAATTTCCTCCCAATAGGTTAAGAAATGGATTTTATACGAATTAATAAAAAATAAAAAACGTGAGCTACCAGTACTGATGATAACAATAACACCTCCTAGTTAGTGGAACTCATGGATAATGCAATAATTAGGAGATGCAAGCAACTGTCCGACTCACATGGAAGAAGAGTATTAGTAAGAAGGGTTATCTTCTTGAGTTTATATAATTTCGGGCAAAGCGTCCCCGCGGCCCTGTCCTTGACCAGGTCTCCTTTTCGTTACACAACCTCAGGAAGCAGCCCGTAGCAGCTGTCAAACCCCCTGATACCTATTTACAATAAGGTGAACAGGTGCATCAGGGTGATAAAAACTCTGCTCATTTTGTTTCTACCTCAATCGGGGATCGAACCCGGAACCTCGAGACTACAAATCCGTAGCGCTGTCCACTCAGCTGTCAGGCCCCAAGGTAAAAAATCTTGAGGTAATCTTGAGATGATTTCGGGGCTTTTTAGTGTCCCCGCGGCCCGGTCCTCGACCAGGCCTCCACCACGAGGAAGCAGCCCGTGACAGCTGACTAACACCCAGGTACCTATTTTACTGCTAGGTAACAGGGGCATAGGGTGAAAGAAACTCTGCCCATTGTGTCTTGCCGGCGCCCGGGATCGAACCCGGGACCACAGGATCACAAGTCCAGCGAGCTGTCCGCTCGGCCGACCGGCTCCCTAAGGTCCACAAAGTGGATATGCAGCTGGTCTCTTCTAGGATTGCTGATTGCCACATGGAGGGCAAAATTTCACACAAATAATAAAGAGTAAGTATGTTGTATTATATACCTGTATTTTATTATGTATCATACAAATACATTGCACAATGACAATATTTCTAACGTACACCAATTTTTTTTCTCCTTTGTTTCTCATCTGATTTTGTTGTGGTTTATACATCTTAGAGAATGTATACCCATCAATAAGTATGTAAAGTTAGAACGAAATTGATCAACATGTTATTCAGCCACAGATGGCAGAACTTGTGTCTTAATTTTTTTGGCCGAATCATCCCTATATGTTGTTTTTTAAGTGGTTATTTTTTCTTGATTTCATTTCACTACATATTTACCCACAACTTTCACATATTCGAGTACGAATGCTCAGCAATATTTCATAAAAATTACAAGATATGTCCTAAATTAAAACTCCTATATTAATTGTCGCGAATGTTTATTTAATTTTTCACAACTGTTTATTTAATTTGTACTCACAACTAGGTGAGTACAACTAGGTGCGTACAACTAGGTGAGTAAAAATAAATCACTGGTAACAGGAAAATTGCAAAAAATTTGGAAGACTGCAAATGTAGTCCCAATATACAAGATGGGGGGATAGACGGGAAGCACTGAACTACAGGCCAGTGTCCCTAACTTGCAAACAATGCAAGCTGATGGAGAAGATTGTGCGAAAAACGTTAGTGGAAAATCTGGAACGAAAGAACTTTGTAACACAGCATTAACATGGGTTCAGGGATGGCAGGTCCTACCTCACAGGATTAATTGCATTATATGACAAGGCAACAAAAATCAGGCAAGAGAGAGAGGGGTGGGCAGACTGTATATTTTTGGATTCCCAGAAAGCCTTTGACATTCTATAACTATAGATATAGTACCACACAAGAGGCTAGTAAAAAGCTGGAGATGCAGGCAGGAGTGAAAGGAAGGTACTTCATTGGATAAGGGAGTACCTAAGCAACAGAAGACAGCGAGTCACTGTGAGGGGTGAGACCTCAGATTGGCGAGATGTCACCAATGGAGTCCCACAGGGTTCATTCCTTGGACCTATACTGTTTCTGATTATGTAAATGATCTCCCAGAGGGAATAGAATTGTTGCTGTCCTTGTTTGCTGATAATGCAAAAATTATGAGGAGGATTAAAACAGAGGATGATAGTAGGAGGCTACAAAATGACCTAGACAGACTGAATGAACGGTCCAACAAATGGCTACAAAAGTTCAACCCGATTAAATGCAAGTTCATGAAACTAGGCGGTGGAAACAGGTGACCAGACACAGGATACCGAATGGGAAATGATGTACTTCATGAAACGGACAGAGAGAAAGATCTAGGAGTTGGTATCACACCAAACCTGTCTCCTGAAGCTCACATAAAAAGAATTTCATTTGCGGCATATGCGAGGTTGGCTAACATCAGAACAGCCTTCAGGAACCTGTCTAAGGAATCATTCAGAACCTTGTACACAGCATATGTAAGACCAATCCTAGAGTATGCAGCCCCATCATGGAACCCGTACCTTATCAAGAATAAGACGAAACAGGAAAGAGTTCAGAGTTATGCCACTAGGCAAGTCCCAGAACTAAGAGGCATGAGTTACGAGGAAAGGCTGCGTGAAATGCACCTCACAACACTGGAAGACAGAAGAGTAAGAGGAGACATGATCTCTACCTACAAAATTCTCAGAGGAATTGACAGGGTAGATAAATAAAAACTATTTAACACGGGTGGTATGCGAACAAAGGGAAACAGATGGAAACTGAGTACCCAAATGAGCCAAAGGGAGGAGGGCTCATTTGAAAGAAGTTTTAGAAAGAACTTTTTCAGAAAGAAAGAACTTAGAAAGAACTTTTTTCAGTGTCAGAGTAGTTAATAGATGGAATGCATTAGGCAGTGATGTGGTGGAGGCTGACTCCATACATAGGTTCAAATGTAGATATGATAGGGCCCAGTAGGCTCAGGAATCTGTACATCAGTTGATTGACAGTTTAGAGGCGGGACCAAAGAGCCAGAATTCAACCCCCCCTCAAGCACAATTAGGTGAGTACACACACACACACACACACACACACACACACACACACACACACACACACACACAGTTCGTTCGCCTGTCTGGAGAGAGTCACACGTGGTGTCCGGTCCACGAATAACATCAATTATCTTGAGACATTGAAAGGTTACAGAGACAAGAAACATAGTTTTTGTCACAGGAGTGTACGCAAACGCAGTGATCAAGTGTATAGTGAGCTCCTACAGCGGTAGAGCAATTAAGAAAGCAAAAATAAGGTCGAGTGGCAAGATCAGTGTGTACCGATGGGTCAGTCTAGCCACCCAGCCATGCCAGGACCTACGATTTGCTTGCTGAGTGATGTGTTGTGAAGCGGATTGTAGCATACATAGTGATTGATCCCCCGAAGTGTGTGCACCGTTTAGGATCGTATATTAAGGGCACATAGTGGCTGAGGACCAGTGAGGAAGATAGGAACGAATGTTATACCAGGAGCACGTGGAGACAACAGTAGCACGTGGAGACAACATTGATACCAGGGAGAGGGGAGGACAGGCGACCAACCCCGTCATAAGGACATCTCTTGAAACTCAACTAGGCATGCTTGCTTGGGGTGAGCTGATGGTAGGTACCCCTCTCTAGGTCATCAATATGGTGTACAGAGTGACTTAAAATAATTAATTTAAAGTAGGTTTCAATATCTCAAATATACAACTCCGTGTGGCTCACTTGGGTACGGGGCTTGACACATGCTACCCTGGTGACCGCTCACCCATCCTTC